CAGGAAATTATAAAATAATGGAATTTTGGTTGGATAACTCAGTCTAAAAATGAAAAATATCCATAAAATCTGAGGTTTTCTGTTAAATTTTATAAAAATTTCAAGTGAAAGATCTAAGAAAGGGTTTAATAGCTTATGTCTATATGCAATTTTGGCTAAAAATATCATTTTGTAAAAAATCATAACTGTTATGCATTATGATGTTGCTTTTGCGAAGCCCAAAAATTATAAATGCCACCAAGACAGAAATTGACTGTTTTTATGTCAAAAATCCACTAGTAGAGGTTTTCAAGTTTGTACAGCAAAAGCTGCACCAAATATTAATTTATCTTACTTCATATAAAAAAAATTACAAACAGCATATTAAATAATTAATCCAATTTATTGTAGTGAGTTTAATATTTGGAACACAAAACATGTTACTGTATCACAACAATTACATAACATGCACTACAATGGAGAGGCATGCTGCAAACTTACAGTAAAATGTAATATTTACTGTGATCACTGAACTATCTATCATGGTTACACACATTATTGACATCATTGCTATTTTACTAATCATGAATTGTAGAAATATAAGTCAAATACATATATTAATGGATTAGTATACATTTTACAGTTGTTGTCTATACAGTGTGTTCAACCATATAGTCATATCCAAAGCATGAAACTATCAGTGGCTGGTTTGAGCAATGAACCAGCATACAACAGAAATTTACATTACACATTTTCAATCTACATAAATATTATTGGTTGATAAACTCTGTTTTACTTAACAGGACACATGGTATTTCAATCTTCATCACTGTCAGACTCATCATAACCTGAATCATAAACTGCACTTTCCAGATATTGTTTGCCAGTCATATCACTGTTTGTGCAGGTGCACACATCATCTGGTACTTGCTTTCCTGTAAACCAGGTTAGGACAAATTTGTCATCATGAAGTCTCCATCCATGATGCCGAGGATTCCATGCTATGAGGTTTCTACACGTTAGCGACAAAGTTTTTTTTTTTATTTTCTGTTCAAGCACAGGTTTTGATGGTGGAAACATGCTTCGGTCACATCCCTTTATTTTTCAAAGGGTCTGAAAGATTGTTTTGGTGTGAAATGGTCAAGGAATATGTGGTAATAGGCTGAATCCACAGATCTCAGAGTTTGATTTCTATATATATGGCAAACAAATGACTCAATGTCCTGCTGAACCTCCGGATCAAGGATTTGTGATTCGCCGAGTTTGCAAACTGCTGAGGTGAAGGCCTTCTCCATAATAGCTAATGGTCACACCTTTTCTTTCTTAAAAAAAGGCTGTGGTGTAGTCTAACCCTGTAAAGGCGTGAAGACCTGGTAATGCAGCACACATTTCAGGACCTATATGATGAGCTATTGCAGATACATCGATGTACCGCCATGTACTGTTGGAGTTCTTTCCAACATCATGCCACACTTTCAGAGAAAACTTTGACACATGGGCCAAGATAATCACTATGATGTCTGCATCATCACAGGGAACAACAACGCTGAAAACTGAAATGAATTTGAAGATCCACGCAAGCCATGTGTCAGCTTCAAAGTGATCATACACTAGCTTATGTATTTGTGTTCGCACTACTGTGCTGTTGTTGACTGCTTCATAAAGCCATTAATAGAGGACTGTATTAGGGCCTCTGCCATTCTTCTAATAAGAAAAGAAGTAATACTCTTTTAAAGCCTGGAGAGTGTAGCTGGGGATGAAAATCATTTGCTCTGGACTTGAAATTTTGTAGTAAGTATATTCTCCACTGAACCCTCTAGCCTCGTATGTGGGATCTTTGATTGTGGTTTCATTCCTGTAACTGTCACAAAGAAAATGAACATGTGTTGCAGTGCTCATAACTCTCTTTAAAAGAGCTTCAGTGATGCCATCAAATGTGGCTGGATTACTGACCTGACTTTAGATGACAAACATAACATCTACAAGGGAAACATCAACACTGGATGGTGGCATTGTTTTAACCTTGCCTTCTAGTTTTTAGTCAAAACTGCCTTATCAGTTCTGTTCATCATGCCATCCACATGAGCCAGGAAGAGCGGGACAGGTTTCAGTGGGAAGCAGAAAAATGCTT